TGCTAATAATTTCCACATATCAGTCAAATAACAAGGGAGCCTGGGAATAACATCACACTGCATATTCCTCAAGAACAAGATCACCTGAGGAGTTCAAGAAACCCTTTCTGTCAAGATCACAGGCAAAATGGGACCCTCATAACCTCCTGAAAGCAAAGGCTCAGGTTACCTCAGAAGGCAACTTGTGCTGCCCAGGAGTGATAGTGGTTTGTGGAGGATAAGGGAAACAATGCTGGTGAGAAGAGCTCTGCTGCCCTCCCAGTGCAGACACCTGGATAGGGTTTTTCGACCTGCCAACCTCCTTCTGGCATGCAGCTTGCCTTGTTCTTAATGACAGATATGTGTAAAATTGTCTGACACGTTGTACCAGCATTATTTTTAAAGGTGTAGCTGCACTTTTTTGCCCATTACACTGCTGGAAAGGAATCCAGATGCCACTGTATTCCCACTCACACCAGCCCAAGCCATTCCTGCAGTAGCAGGGACAGTCCAGGGGAACAGCTCTTTCCACGCCTCTAAGGACTTCTCAAGGAAAGCTGCTTTTTCCTTTTTTCTTTGTTTCAGCTCAGTCAACAGCACTTTTGTGTAAGCACAGCAGCTGTAGTAGGCCTTGTTTTTAATGTTTTGGGACCTGCTTGATTTTTGATATTTTTATTGTGGAACCCATTAGGGAGGAGAACCTTCTGGTGAAATTACCTGCCACTTATAGCACCTGGTGACAAAGGCTAATGTACCTGTTGCTTGCCCTGTCACAAAGTCTAAGATGAAGTCTACAAAGTCTGCAACTTACCCATTGCCTTTAATCCTGCAGATAATGGCATAACAAGATCCAGTGTCTGGGGGTCAAACCTAAACTATACACTTAGATGTCCATTCCAGTGAAAGTAGTTAACAAGCAGGGTGCGAGAGCAAGACAGCCTCTCCTGCACTGGCAGGCAACACCAAGACCAGATGCATCTCTGGGAGAGATGACTGAGGTCAACCATAAATTAACAGGCTCACTGCAAGGGAAAAAAATAATTCTGTGTCCAATTGCATGGTCTGGTATGAAGGAGACCAGAGGAGATGGGCCAATAACTCTTTTCTGCACTCATGAACTTTCTGAATCCTTCTTATCCGGAGGGGGAAAATGGCAAGGGTTCCCTTTGCCATGTTACCATGGCTGATTCTTAATCACTAGCAGGGCTGGCAGTAGCTCTTGTGCAACACCACTTTCCCCAGCGCTGGGCCCTGTTCCCCTGCAATGCTCCCAACCCCTGCTGGTCTCAGAAGAATTGAGCCCAAAGCTCCACATAGCAATTCAAATGCATCACCAGACATTAGGCCACCGGGTTAACCACTGTTTAATTTCGTCACATTTGTTTGTGAGTTATGTACGTGCCTTTCTTTTGTCAACATCTCCTTTTAGAAAGGATATTGATTTTGTTTTCAAAGGCTCTCAAAAATAAAATGAATGACTACATTCTAAGGAAGAGTCATTTTCTCAACAGCTGTAAATAATTTATTGTTCGCAACCCACCCAGATCAAAAGATACTTCATCAACTGATGTGGCAAAATCTGGTGCAAGCTGCATTTCTATTATCTCAGATCCAATTAACCATTTGGAGCAGACTAAAACATAACTAGATCAATCCAGAATCAGATTAATATCCAATCCATAATCACATTAATCACAATCTGTCCATAATTAGCCATCAGATAATCCCATTGGACAGGAGGTGACATGCAGTATCCCATTATCTCATTAATTATCTATTTTCAGTATCAGACATTGTGCCCAAACATAAGGAAATGTTTTTTAAAGGAAAAATGGATAGGGAATTCTCATTTTGCTACATCTGTCCCATTGAAGCTCCCAATGTCTCAATGTTGGAGTTTTACAACATTTCTTTGTTTTGGCATATTCTGCTAGGACCAAGAGGGGCTTTTTGAGAGACATCATCTTTTTAATAAAATATGACTATCTTAGGAAGATTGATAAATAAAACATGTTTCATGTGAACAAGTTTGTGAAAGAAAGAAACTCTTCATCAAAGGTTTTAATGGTAACATGATAACAATAGCTTTGCAATGCTAAATCTTATTGCAGATGGTTCCTGTCCTTTTTGTAATGTAAGTGAAATTGTGTTCCATCTGTTTTAATTTTATAATGGACTTAATCCATGGTTGGCTCTGAAAGAATCAGCATCTACTGCCTTTGCAATCTGCTGCAAACAAAAAAAAAATAGTTGCCATTTCCACCTTCTAGAGGGAACTTGTATTTCTGTTTGGGAGCAAACCCCAGAGCTGCTCTATAGAGAGGGAAGTACCATTAGCCAGCCTCACCCCGTGGCCAGGCAGCCCCTGCCAGCTCTTGCACCAAACCCAACTGGAACTGCTGCAAAAGAGATTGGAATCTCTGGACACTGGGTGAGGGAGAGCAAGGAGTAATCAGTGGGGCAGGAGAGATTGCATTTGGCTTTGACTAGAAAATGCTTCCAGCAGTTCCAAGTTACCTGAACACAGTTTTAGAGAGGTGCCTCCTGGACTGAATTATTCCATGATTTTATGGTGTGCTTTCCCTTACTCTCCCTCAAATGAACCAACAATTAACCTGTTTGTAAAACATGTGGTATTGAGCTGGTTCAATGCCTCATGGCATTACCTGTAGGCATTTTAATGCTTTTTGTACATCATATAGAGGAGGTGCAGGGCTTTCAACATTTCTCTGGCAAGTAATTTTTTGGGCTTTTCTACTAAACTGCCTGTGCAGCACTGCCTATCCTGTTCCTACCTGCCTGGTTGTGAAGCAAGTCCAGTCCAACCATACCTGCCTGGTGTCAGTATATTGCTCTGTTCAGATACAGGTGTGACTGGAGCACAGCTTTGCATAGGTTTGGAAAAGTTTTGTTGGCTCAGCTATAACTTTACTAATTCCTAAACTGGTGGGATGTTTGGGAGAGCAGAAAGGATCCTGCCCTCGAGTGGGAAAAGGGTGATGCAACACAGAGCATCCCTGCCAAGATGCTGTATTCTTAGACATGTCTCATTCTCCTATCACTCTGACATTTTTACATTTTATTGTTAACACATGCAGATAGTGACTCACCCAGGACTTTGAATTCTGGCTCAGGCTGAAGTCACCCTTCTGTACCCTCTTTTCTGTCAAGTGCCCAGGCATGGACCTGCGCTGCTCCACAGTGCTGTAGAGGTTCCCATCACCCATCCCTCGGGGTCACCCCAGTTTGAAGAACCAACCAAACTTTTCCAATTGCCTTCATACCTCTCACTCCCTACCCTGCTCTGCCACCGGCAAGCGAGCCACGCTAGCGGCAGGCAGCAGTCAGACCACAGCCCCCAGCAGGCGCCACACAGGCAGGGAACACATGGGCACACCCTGCCCTGAGGATGTCACTGCTGCACCGCGCCTCTGCACCTTCGCACATGCAGGGGTAGGCAGGGATACCAAAATTCCTTGGTGACATGCGTCCCTGCTGAAGTGGGTGCTTTAAACGCCATCCATCCCCCTTCCCCCTCAGCTATTGTACAAATTTAAAAGCTTGCTTTCAACATTTGGGGTCCTGAAAGGGGTAGCAGGGGCTGTGGTCAGGATGGGAGAGTGGATCAAATAATGAAGCACTTTATCCAAAGGGTCCTCTCCCCCTCCTCGGCTTCTGGGGTTTCTTATCTGCAGGGTGCCTGACTCGCACAAAAGACAAGTGCTTCAGCTGGAAAAACCCTCCCGCCTCCCTCCTCTAAGAAAAATGAGCACAGCCTGCCCTTCCTGAGTCAACATCTAAAGTCACCATGTCCTTCTCAAGCCATACAGGTTGGCAAATGCCTGTCAAATTCCCTGTGTAAAATTAAAAAGGTAATTGCAGGGAGGAGAAGGACAGGATCAAAGCCCCAAGACAGCGGTAATCTCAATTCCAGCATGTACAAGCTTTCTTGGACCCTATGAGGCACTCGTGCTTCTGTGCTGCAAAGTCTTTGGGAATTTAACACTGAATCAAAGGCCACTGAAGTGCTTTCCCTATTCTTCTGCTAATGCACGGGAAGCCCATGGAGACTGGGGGGAAAGAGGGAAGAAAAAAGAACAGAAGGCATAAAAAAGCGACAGGAGAGGTTCAGCTGCGGGAACAGCACGGAACCATGTGCATGAAAATGCGGTAGAATACTATTTTTTCTCGGCTAATTTCGACTCATCACGGGGCCGCAGCTCGGGACGGCCGCCCCAGCGATGCGGTTGGTTCTGTCCGGGTCCGTTGGGGCGGCTCTCCCGCACACGGACCTCAGCAGGGAACTGAGGGTTCCGCGGGTGCGCAGCGTCGAGCCGGCGTCCGCAGCGCAGCCCCTTCCCGTCTGCAGCGAGACGCTCCTCCGCACAGCGCCGGGACTCTCCCGCCGCGCCCGCCCGCGGGCACCTGCCAGAGGCACGTCGAAACGCGGGGAAAAGAACAACGAAATAAAATGCATAAGAGACGAGAAAAAGAAGGAACGTGGAAATAAAAGGAGAAAAATAATAGGAGCACTAAAAGTCAAGAACAATAACAGGAAAAACAGAGGAGGAAGAAAAGCTACAATGAATCTCCTACTCCTCGGGCTGCCGGTGCCGCCGTTGCCTGCGCGCACGGGGCCAGGCGCACCGCGGCCTGAGGGTCCTTCGGCCGCCCGGGGCGCAGGGTGCGGAGGAGCTTTCCCCGCGGGGCACGGGGCCGCTCGCCCCGTCAGTGCCGGCGTCGTGCGGCTCCGGGCCGGGTCCCGCAGGGCGTGCGCCCCGCTCCGCGCCCGCCGCGCGCCCATTGTTCGGCACCGCCAATCCGCAGGCTCTCCCCGCGGCCGCCAATCGCCTCCGGGGGCCGCGCGGTGAGGTCAGCGCCGCTGCGCGCTGACATCACGGCACGGCCCGGCGGGGCGGGCCCGGGGGGGCGGACGCGGCCCCCGCCCCGCGCCGCGCGGGTAGTGGTGGAGCGGCGGCTCCGCATCCCGCATCGCTGCCGGTGCGCAGGGGGCCGTCCGCATGGTGGACATCCTCCTCCCGCGGCCGCTCCAGGGCGCCATGGGGGAGCCCTCCAAGAGTAAGTGCGCGCAGCGCAGCGAAACGCGGGGCCAGGGCGGGAGGGAGTGCGCGGGACCCCGCGGATCGAGCTCCGAGCCGCCTCTGCCGTCGAGCGGACTGGCGGACCGCGGGCGCGCTGACAGCGCCGGGAAGGGGCTGTGGCCGCACGGCGGGCGCGGGCGGCTGCGGGCTTGGCCCGTGGCAACTCCGGTGCCGCTATTCCCGCTCGTGCCCGGCGCTTCCCGGCCCCGCTGGCGCCGTTCCTTACGGAATGCATGTCCTTTCTGCTGTCCGCACCGCTGAGCTCATTTCTTTCGGCTGTTTCAATTTCTTTCTCTGTTTCCCTCTGCTCTTTCTTTCTTTCTTTTTCCGTGTTGCCGGTTTTCTTTATTTATCTCTTTGGTGTTTCAGTTTCTCCTTTTTTAAAATTTATTTTTCCGGGTTTTTTTTTAAACTTCATTTTCTCTCTATTCTTGTTTAGTTTTATTTCTTTCTGTCTCTTTGATTACACGTCTCTTACTGTTTTAATTTGTCCATGCTCCCATTTTAACCATTTCTGGATTTTAGATGCTTTTATATCTCTTTCCGTCATTCTCTTTTAATTTCTTTCTTTCTCCTTCTTTCTTTCCTTCCTTTTTTCTTTGTTTCTTTCCTTATTTCTTTCAAGTTTTCCTCAGCCGTTGTTTTAATTTTTTTTTGTTGTTTGTTTCTGATTCTATTTTCCTTTTCCGAAATTCTACTTTTACATCTCTGTCTCTCGGCATTTATTTGCCTTGATCAAGTTTCTCTCTTTTTTTTTTTTTTTTTTCCCCTTTCCTGACCGTATTCATTTGTCTCCGTTTGTGTTTCCATCCTTTCTGTCCGTGTGTCTATCTGCATTTTCTTTCTTCCCATTTTGGAAGAAAACAAAAACAAACCAGAATAAGAAAAAAGGATGAAGTGTAAAAAAAAAAAAAACAACAACCTTTTCCTAATTCCTGGCTACTGCTCTGGCACACTGCTGGCTCTGACCGTACCCCGCTCGCTCCCGGCAGGGCGGCCGGGGCTGGCCCTGTGCGCGGGCTGCGGGGGCCGCATCCAGGACCCGTTCCTGCTGCGGGTGTCGCCGGACCTGGAGTGGCACGTCGCCTGCCTCAAGTGCGCCGAGTGCGGGCAGCCCCTGGACGAGACCTGCACATGCTTCCTGCGCGACGGCAAGGCCTACTGCAAACGGGATTACAGCAGGTGACCCCGAATGCGCCAACGCTCGTTAGAAAAAAAAAAAAATAACCCAGACCCGAAAAAGCACAAAAACCCTTAGGTCCCCCGAATTTCCCCCAACGAAAACCCGAGTCTCGGCCGCTGCCCTCCCCCGCGGCACCTCCTGGAGCCGCCCCGACGGCGCGGCCGCGGGCCCTGACGGCGCATCGCGTCCCCGCAGGCTCTTCGGCATCAAGTGCGCCCAGTGCCGGGCGGCGTTCAGTAGCAGCGACCTGGTGATGCGCGCTCGCGACCACGTCTACCACCTGGAGTGCTTCCGCTGCGCCGCCTGCGGCCGCCAGCTCCTGCCCGGCGACCAGTTCTGCCTGCGGGAGCGCGACCTGCTCTGCCGCGCCGACCACGGGCCGCCCCCCGACGGCACCGCCGCCCGCGGACCGCGCAGCCCCGCGCTAACGCCGGCCGCCGCCGCGCACCTCGCAGGTACCGGCTCCCCGTCGGGGCGGGCGGCGGGGCGGGGAGGGTGTCGGGGGGGCTGCGGCGGGCGAGCGGGCGGCGGAGCTGACGGTGCGCGCCCTCCCCGCCCGTCGCAGAACCGGTGCCCGGGCGGCCGCCCGCCCCGCGGCCGCCGGCGCACAAGGCGGCGGAGAAGACCACCCGCGTGCGGACGGTGCTGAACGAGAAGCAACTGCACACGCTGCGGACCTGCTACGCCGCCAACCCGCGCCCCGACGCCCTGATGAAGGAGCAGCTTGTGGAAATGACGGGGCTCAGTCCCCGCGTCATCCGCGTCTGGTTCCAAAACAAGCGCTGCAAGGACAAGAAAAAGTCTATCCTCATGAAGCAGCTCCAGCAGCAGCAGCACAGCGACAAGACGGTGAGCGCCCGCCCTCCCCGCCAGGGAGGGAGATGTGGGTGGGGGGCTCGGGCGGCAGTCGCGCTGAATCCCCGTGTGCCCGCAGAGCCTGCAGGGTCTCACCGGCACACCGCTGGTGGCCGGCAGCCCCATCCGCCACGAGAGCGCCGTGCAGGGCAGCGCCGTGGAGGTCCAGACCTACCAGCCGCCCTGGAAAGCGCTCAGCGAGTTCGCCCTGCAGAGCGACCTGGAGCAGCCCGCCGCCTTCCAGCAGCTGGTGAGCCGCGCCGGGCCGCCCGTCGGGCCGCAGGGGACAGGCAGATCCCGGCCCGCCGGGCCCGGGCGCTGAGGGAGGGGGACGGGGTGACCGCGCCGGGCCCTCACCGCCGCTGTTCCCCCAGGTCTCCTTCTCCGAGTCCGGATCCCTGGGCACCTCCTCCGGCAGCGACGTGACCTCGCTGTCCTCCCAGCTCCCCGACACCCCCAACAGCATGGTACCCAGCCCGGCCGAGACGTGAAGCGGCCCGTCCGCTCTGCCGCGGGACCTCCGCATGCCTGCGCTTCCTGCATGAGACACCCGGCCTCGGGCCGCTCCCAGAGCTCCGGACAAACGCCTTTGTTTTTTAATTATTCTTATTTAAAAACAAACAAAAAATATGTTACTGACGGCCAAAAAAGCACCGGGATCCTCGCTGCCTTCACCAGACCGGAGAGAGAGCCCCTGCCCTGGTTATTTCGTGGTTTTGTTTTTTTTTCCCTGCGGATTTCGATGTTTCTTTTCCCCAAAGAAACGCGGATTTCCCCGCCGGAGCCCAGCACGGTGACAGGCTGCCTCGCCCACCGCTTGCACTGGGGACGGTTTTTCTTCCCTTTTTGAAAGGGAAAAATAAATAATAATAATAAAAAGAAAATCTACAAAACTGGGAGAGACTCCTCCGGCGTGCAGCCGCGCCGCTCAGCCTCATCTCACACCGATGCCTCTCCCGGGCCGTGGTGCCTGGCCCCGCACGATCGCTGGAAAAACGGGACACGAAAACGAGACTTTTTAACGGGAAAACCAGTGCTAATAATGTTAAGTTATCAGTGGACGAAGGACGGATTGTTTGCGCCTTTAACGATCAAAAGTAAGTTATTGTTATTTATTGTCAGAGTCAGCGGTTGAATAGTGGGATTAAATATTTTGGACTTAATAAAAAAAAAATTGATTTAAACGAAAAAACTAAAAACGAACTAAAAAAAAGTTCCCGAAAGGCAGCGAAGGGGCACCCCAGGCGCGGAGCAGCGCGGTCATACGGATCGGGAGCGGAACAGAGCGGGTCGGGACCGGCACAGCCCTGGCTTCTCCCGCACGGCCTCACCGCACCGCGCTAATCGGCTTTCAGAACCGGGGCCGCTTATTTATAGCAAGGGAGGCGGAGCGAAGGTTTACCTTTCGGAGTAGCCCCCAGGCTCGCCCGGCTGTGCCTGCACCTGCCGCGGTGCGGGGCGACCTCGCCTCCTCTCTGGGGGTGGCGAGGCTGGGCGGCGGGGTTCTCCCCCGGGGCGGCGAGGCGAGCCCTTCCCTCCCGCGTATCCATCCCCACGTCCAGACCCAGACGGCGACTTCTTGTCTGTCTCTGGCATCACCTTGGGAGCGCGGCGAGGCCGCTCCAGCTCCCGCCCCCTCCCCCTTACCCTGGGGACTGCTCAGGACCAGCTCCCCGCAGGATCGCAGGCTCGGCCAAGCTCAAGCCACGCCGAGCCACGGCCCTGTCCCCATCCCCGGGGAGCGGGAGGGGAGCGGGGTCCTGCCGGAGCCCTCCGGGCTGTAAGGGATGGGCAGCGCGGCGCCGGGGTGGCTCCACTACCCCAACAGACTTTGGAGCGAGTGTGCAAGGACTGGGTTCCCAGGGCGAGCTGCCGTCCAGGAGAACGAAGCGGCCCGGGCTGCGGGACCGCCTCAGCCCGGGGCTGCTCTGCACCGCCGGGACGGGCAATCTCCCGGCTAGGGACAGGTGGGGATGGGGATCCTGCCGCCCTCCCAGCCCCGCCGCGGGACCCCCGCGGTTACCTGGCTCCGTCCGGGTGAGGCTGGAGCTCTGCGCGTTCTCCCTGGGCTGGACTGGGGCGCGGCGCGCGGCCTCGCCTCAGGATCGCCGCTGCTACCTCAGGCCCGTGGCGGGCCGGGCCGCTATAGGCGGCGAGGGGGCGCGGCCCAGGGTTCCAAGGGACTGTTCCGGTGCCGGTCGCAGTCCCGGTGCCGGTCCCCGCTCCGACACCGGTGGCGGTCGTTGCCCAGATCGCGGTCCCGATGTCCGCGGGCCGGGATCGGCGGCGGCCCCGCCGCAGCGCAGGGCCGGAGCGGCGCGCGCCCCCTCAGCGCCGCCGCGCGCGGAAAGCGGCTCCGGCCCGAATACGGCACCGCGGAGCCCTCAGGGAACACCGTGAGGCTTCAACCAGCTCGAGTCTCACCGAGATGTTAAAAATGCATGAGGTCTAAAAAATCTGAACTGGGTGACGTATCCTCAATCACCCAAAAAATTTTAAGTAAACTTTCCCCCGAGCCAGATCTGACGAATTACTTTGATTTGATTCTGATTGACTCTTGGTTAATGAGAAAGACACCTTACGAGTGTTTTTCCCCTTTCCTTCTGAACTGTATTGCTCATGGTAATTCAAACATACTGATGATTTTAACATAGAAATCACACAAGACAGAATAAGTTATTTTATTATAAGATATATAGAACATATTTCCTCTATTTGCAACCTTATTTCAGCAGTTCTGCAGTGCAAGTCCCACCACAGGGCAGAAAACACCAAAATCATGACATTGCATACAAGAACGAAATAAACTCAAATTATCAAAATTACAAAACAGAACTTGGAAGTATCTACAGTACTTATATAAATAACGCAAATTATATATCTACAGCGTAAGTATTTAGAGTATCAAAAACGTTTCGGCAGAGCATTTTAAAGAAGGTATTCAGCAGGAACTGGTCAGTGTGATGATGACAGGGATTTAAAAACTAAATACAACTCTTATTTTTTCAAGAAGAACTGTCGAGCATCTTCCCAGGACTGCCGGGGGAATCTGTTGGAGAGCTCAAGATAATCTTGAGAACTGAAAAATTTTTCTGTTGAAGACAAAATAACCAAGTTATTCCCTCTTCAGATAAGATGGCAATAAAACAAGAATAATGAATGTGCAGACAATTTGTGATACTTCTAGTAATTTACTCTCCTCCCCCTATCCAAATCTTCTCAGACCATGGGGTGACACTTCTGTGGAGCTTGGGACATCTACACTTGGCTTTAAGGATGGGGACAGAGGCTCTGATGAGCAAAGGATTCCATTTCTAAGCTAATCAGGATCTCTGCCCTATAGAGAGGAACATGATGCATTTTGCACACTTTGTTCTTGGACTCACTGGGGACCCCCAGCTCAGCCTCATTCTACTCTGAGCAGCCTGAGCGGTGTTTTTTGCTCAGCAGTTTCTTTTTTTTACCACAAAGGGCTGCAGAAGAGTTGTGTTCCTGACTCCCCAGAGCTCAGAGCATGAGCACAAATGCAGCTTTCACTCTCGAGAGTGTAGTGACGTGGACAGGACTTCACTGTCCACACGTTTGAGGGTCTGACCCTCCACGTAGAACCCAACTATGAAGTTTACGCTTTCAGGTTTTATTCCTGTCAGTGTTATTATTCCCATTTGTTTTTAGGGACACCATCCTTCACGTTCAAGTTATATAAGAAATAAAGATAATTCTGCCTAAACTATTATTAAGTCAATTTTCTACAACTGGGGAATGTTTAGAAATCACAATCATGTGTTACCACATCTTTGTTTAGAAGTTCCTTCAGTCTGAATAGTGAAAATAAAAAGCAAGCTTTCCACTTGTATTTTAGATTTTCTTAAGCAGATTCTCATGCAAACACAATCCTGGGAAGTTGATGCTGCAGGCACTGCACAAGGCTGCTTCAGACTGAGATATCTGATGTTGACAGTAAAAATCTCCATAAAGTTACCTTCATTTTGTAATTTATTTTTAAACAAAAACTTTATGCTTTAGACCTAGAACCACTCATCTCCTGGCAAACGCTGAGGAAATGGTGGTGGATTTCTACTTGTTATGAGGGAGAAATGACTGTCTGAATGTTGCATTTTATGCACAACACGGCTACTCAAGACCAGATGCCCATCAACACTTGAATTTCAGCTGTTTAGCAAGTAACAGCCATCTCAGCTGAGAATCTTTCAAATGTTTAGCCTAAAAAGGTTGACTGCATTTAAAATAATATTTATGATAACTGAGGGGGAAAAAATCACGACTCTTCTGCAAACTGACGAATTTTAAAGGACAATTACAGGAGAGTATTTTAGAGATTTTTGGCTCCTTGGGTGTACTGGCATGGCTACGTGGCTTCTGCAACCTAAAACTTTTGAAGGCAGCCTTTGTGTCAGGTAATTAAATATGTGCAGGTACAGTATCACATTTTAAGACATGATACCACATAGTATTGAATAAAGATTAACATCTGAATCCCTGATAGACGAGCAGCAGACTGGAAGACACGTATGTGTAGGGCAGGATGTAAGCCAGGGAGCCCACCCCTGAACTGTAAAATGGTGCAGCAATTTACTGTATTTCTTTTAAGTGATGCCGATTCAAAAACCTTAAATCACAGTATCTACATATTTTTTTACCCAGATGTTACTCTGTTACACTGCAGGGAACGTACCCCTCTGCTGAGGTAACTGATAATCCATTTGGGCTGAGCTCTGTGCAAAATCCTATGGGGGAAAACAAACAAAAAAAAGACATCAGGTTTTTGGATCTTATATGTGAGGAATTAAAAGAACATTCTTAAGTCTTCACAGTAATTCAAAAATACTAATATTTCATGCAATCTGTAAATTAACGAACTCTGGCTCGTTTGCTACATATCATAAAACAATACTGCCAGCACTTAAATTCTGTAATTTACAGTGGATTTTTATATATTTATTTACATCTGTTTTCAAAAAATATATTTTCAGTACACAACAGAGAATCCAAGGCTTTAACGTCTTCTTAGAAAATAGTTATTCTTGTGATTTTTTTATTTACTATAGCCATGTTTCTGTAAAGTAAATGGTGTTTTACAGAAAAAAAAAAAAAAAGAATTTTTGCTCCCAACTCCAAATACACTCTTAAAAAAAATCATGACTGATCCCAGTTTCAATGAGTGTGCTTCCCAGCAACCCGGGAGCCTGAGGTGCTGATCTCCTGGGACGACATGGAATCACTGTCCAACGCTGCTGGCCCTGGCAGCCAGCTGAGCCCCCAGCTGTGCCCCCAGCGTGGAGCACTGCGTGATCCCGCCGCTGTCGGGTGTTGAGATGCAGCATCCTCGGAGCCAGCACGGACACCAACCTTGCCCAGAACCAGCCAGCTCCCCACTGCACATCCTGTCCTTTGCTGGGAGTCCCCACCCAGCAGAATACTGAAGAAGGGATTATCCGAGATAAGATACAACACAGCAAACCATGGATAC